GGCCGTCCTGGCGCCGTCTTGGGCCGTCGTGGCGCCTCTTGGGCCGTCTTGGCGCCCTCTTGGGCCGTGTTGGGGCCTTCTTGGGGGGCCTCTTGGGCCTTCTTGGGGCGCTCTTGGGGGCCTCTTGGACAGTCTTGGACGCCTCTTGGCCCGTCTTGGCGCCCTCTTGGGCTATGTTGGGGGCCTCTTGGGAACATCTTGGGAAGTCTTGGGGCGGTCTTGGAGGCCTCTTGGACCGTCTTCAACGCCATGAAAGGCGAAAAGCCGCATATGCTAAAAATGCACGTGTTCCTTAAGAAAATCAATGGTTTTGCCGCTCGCTCTTGGGAGCCGCGGTGCTAAGAGCCTTTGGGAGTATTATGGGCCTCTTGGGGGGCTCTTGGGGAGCCTCTTGGGTGCCTCTTGGAGACCTTTTGGTGCTTCTCGGTGGGTTATTGGGGCCTCCTGGGAGCTCCTGGGTGGCGGGGGTGAAGGGACTAGGCTGCCTTTGGCCGTCTTTGGGCTCTCTTGGGGGCCTCTTGGGGCCTTCTTGGGGCCGTCCTGGGGCCGTCTTGGGCCGTCTTGGCGCCTCTTGGGCCGTCTTGGCGCCCTCTTGGGCAGCTTTGGGCCCTCTTGGGGGCCTCTTGGGCCTTCTTGGGGCGCTCTTGGGGGCCTCTTGGACAGTCTTGGGCGCCTCTTGGCCTGTCTTGGCGCCCTCTTGGGCTATTTTGGTGGCCTCTTGGGAACATCTTGGGCCATCTTGGGGAGGTCTTGGGGGCCTCTTGGACCGTCTTCAACGCCATGAAAGGCGAAAAGCCGTATATGCATAAAATGCACGTTTCCCCACAGCAAATCAATGATTTTGGCCTCGTGGGGCCCTCTTGGGACGCCTCGTGGGCGCCTCCAGGGGCGTCGTGGAGGCCTCTTGGGGCGTCTTGGAGCCGCCTTGGGCGGTCTTGGGCTCTCTTGGAGCGCTCTTGGGCCGTCTTGGGCGCTTCTTGGGCCGTCTTGGGCCGTCTTGGGCGCCGTCTTGGCCGCTTCTTGGGCTGTCTTGGGCGCCTAAGACGGCCCAAGAAGCGCCCAAGAAGCGTTCTCCGATGATGTCTCGAGCGAAACGCTGTTTTTGTAAGCCCCGAAGGCCGTCCTACTCGAGAAAAAACGAGGCGGGAGTGCTATTTGGGGGGCCTCTTGGCAACATCTTGGGCTCAAGGCAGAAAAGCTCCCAGCATGCATTGCCAATCTGCACACCCGCCTGCCCAATGTGGATGCAGATCGCCTCACGCATTGTGTTGGATGGGCTCCTTGATCGAGTTGAAGTCTGACAGGGGGTGACAACTCACAAGGCCGTCGCGTGATGTGACAGCCTCGATCGGAATCGCTTGAGCCAAAATGGCGACGGAGGGACGTCTGGGGGCCTGTTGGGGTCCCTTCGCGCTTCTTCGGGGCCTGTTGGGGGCCTCCTGGCAGTCTCGGTGCCTGTCTTGGCGTTCTCTTGGACCCCTCTGGGGCCGTCTTGGAAGTCTCTGAGGCAATCTTGGAGGCTTTCTGGGCTGTGCCTGGGCTCTCTTTGGGCGTCGTCGGGCCCTCTTGGGGGCTTCTGGTCATTTTGAAGCGCTGGGAACTCGAAAGGCGAGGACGTCAAATCTTTCAAAAACATGGGGAGTGGCCGCGAAATCCTCGTCGACCGTGATTTAAAATCCAGGAATGATAAACCTAGGTTCGTTACGTTCAGATGATACCCCCATTGGATTATGGGCATGTGGATAGATCGGTGGGCCCCCCCCTCCCCAGATGATTTTCGTTCCGAATAATGCATCTGGGGTCGATATTCCGACATACTGAACCAGGGTTGACCCCAGTCCAATCTCCTTCTCAGGCGCCCCCCCTTTCCGAACCCCAGTGTATGATGCTCTAAAGATAACGGACTAGGGTCAATATTCTAACATGATGAATCCCCGTTTGGAGGCGCGGGGCTTGGGGAGAAAAATAATGATAATCACTCCGGAAGCAGAAATCCGGATTCAGATTATCCGCCTATGGCGCAGGCGACGCCCCTCAGCCTCTATAACTATCATTCCAAAATGATGAACCGGGGTTCGATATTCCCGAAACATTACTAACCCCAACCAATATGCCCAAAACATTATGAACCCAAGTAAATATATTCTTGGGGTCGATATGCTCGGAACATTACAAACCAAGGTTTAAACTGTTCCGGGGGAAACATTATGAACCCCGGTAAATATGTCCCGGAACATTAAAACCCAGGTTCATAATGCTCCGGGGGGGGCATTATGAACCCTGGCATAATCCTGGAACATGCTAAACCCAGGTTAATGTTCTTTTGGATTCGTCCTCAAAACATGACTAGTCCGTGTTGAGCTCAGGGATCAAGGCAATTCGTCGGGGCATCGTTTCTGGATGAGCTGGTGGGGTTATGCGAAGCGACAACAGCAACAACAACAACAACAACAACAACAATCATGAGGAAGGCCAAAGCGATAGCACAATTCCCAAGTAAACCGTAAGGAAGGCCCAAAGGAGAGCATGATTCCTGAGTGTCGAGGGCGCGGCGTCTGAATGTATAGTGCAAGGAAATCCCACGCGAGAGCGCGATTCCTGGAAAAACTGCGTGGAAGTCCTGCGCGAGAGCTCGATGTTGGAATAAGTCGTGAGGAAGTATCAGGCGTGAGCCGTTGTTGTTGTAGCCGGGGTGCCAATAACACAGTTTGAGCAGTACGGCGTTCCCTGATACAATATGAAACCGTGGGGGTGATGATCAGTAACTATTGTTCAAGAATGAAGGTACAACAACAACCATCACTTTGAGAATGTTCGCTCTTATCTGCTCGCGTGACACTCAGCACGAATATCCCAAACCCTGGATACCCTCCCTTTTCGTCTTCGATCATACCCCCAGAAGGGGGAAATATTTCTTGATTACCTGCAACGTGTAGTTCGTGCAGCCTCTGAGGCATAAGAAGACAGGACGGATGCAAGGAAGGGCCAAGGGGCAGGCGGGTTGCTGAAGCGTGCGCCCTGCATGAATCGCAAGGTCTCGAGCGATAGCACGATTCCCAAGTAAATCGGATGGCCACAGCGAGAGCGTGATTTCTGAGTGTCGAGAGCGCGGCGTCTGAATAAATTGCGCGGAAATCACGCGCGAGAACGCGACTCTGGGGCACAACGTGTGAGGAAATCCCGCGCGAGAGCGCGATTTGGGAATACATTGTGAGGAAGTATCTGGCGGGAGCCGTTGTTGTTGTTGTTGATGTTGCTGTTGCTGTTGTTGCAAACCAGGGGCTGTTGTAAACCAGGGGCCAGAGGCCCAGTTTGGTGACACCCAGTTTCCCCTTAGAAAAATAGTGCGGGCCCTGGGAGGAGAAAACGATTTGTCATTTCGAAGAAGAGAATGTCAACAATCATTTTAAGACTCTTCGTTCCGATCTGCTCGCGTGCCGTTTATCACATTTACCCCAAACCCTCGGTACCCGCCCTCTTAGTTTCCGATCATATCCCCCTTGGGGGTATATCTTCCTTACCTGCCACGCGCATGTAGCGCAGCCCCTAAAACAAGGGAAGAGACGACGGATGGAAGGGGGAGGGAAAAGGATGGAGAACGAAAGAAAGTAGGTAGGGAGACTAAGAACAGAAAACACGCAGACCCTAGCGGGTTGCTGAAGCGTGAGTCCTGACCCTGTTGATTATGGGCCTCTTGCATGGGACTACCAAGAATGACAAACTAAAATTAACAATGTGCAACCGAAGAAGGGATTGAGGGCGGATTCTTCCCAAAACTCAGCTCTCGATGGAGAGCTACTTGAATTGTACCAGCATGTCTCCTTCGACTCCTTTCGAGAAGACACATGTTTTCCTGGATTCTCTCACGAGTTGCGTCCTTGCACGCATGCGTCGGCCCGTCGGTCATTCGAAGGCCAAAAACAAGCAAGGTCAGGTGCGCGCGGAAAACCCGAGAAGCACCTCACTGTTCGCCGTCCTCCTCCTCATCGAACTCGCCCTCCTCCTCCGCAGTGGCATCCTGGTACTGCTGGTACTCCGAGACAAGGTCGTTCATGTTGCTCTCCGCCTCGGTGAACTCCATCTCATCCATGCCCTCGCCGGTGTACCAGTGCAGGAAGGCCTTGCGCCGGAACATCGCCGTGAAGTACTCTGCTACGCGCTTAAACATTTCCTGAATCGCTGTTGAATTACCTGCGAAGGCAACTGCCATCTTGAGGCCCTTTGGGGGGATGTCGCACACAGAAGCCTTGATGTTGTTAGGAATCCACTCCACAAAGTATGAAGAGTTTTTGTTCTGCACATTAAGCATCTGTTCGTCGACCTCCTTGGTGGACATGCGACCGCGGAACAGGGCCGCCGCGGTCAGGTAGCGGCCATGGCGAGGGTCAGCTGCACACATCATATTTTTGGCATCGAACATTTGTTGCGTGAGCTCCGGCACGGTCAGCGCGCGGTACTGCTGGGAGCCACGGGACGTGAGGGGCGCAAAGCCAGTCATGAAAAAGTGCAGGCGCGGGAATGGTATCAGGTTCACAGCAATCTTGCGCAGGTCGCAGTTGAGCTGCCCCGGGAAGCGCAAGCAAGTAGTGACACCACTGATCGCTGCACTCACCAAGTGGTTCAAATCCCCATACGTGGGCGTGGTCAGCTTCAGAGTACGGAAACATATGTCATAAAGGGCCTCGTTGTCAAGCAAGAAGCACTCGTCGGCATTCTCCACCAACTGGTGGAAAGACAATACCGCATTATATGGTTCTACGACTGTGTCGCTAACCTTTGGGGACGGAATGATACTGAACGTCTCCATGATCCTGTCGGGATATTCCTCTCTCACCTTGGAAATGAGCAACGTCCCCATGCCAGCTCCAGTGCCGCCTCCGAGTGAATGACACATTTGAAACCCTTGAAGGCAATCACATCCCTCTGCTTCCTTGCGGACCACATCCAACACGCTGTCGATCAATTCCGCGCCCTCCGTATAATGACCTTTTGCCCAATTA